TTTTGAAAATGTATTGAAAGTTTTGAAGTAGATTTTCTCAAAAACGGTTCCCCGTGGAGGGATAACTCTGATAAGCTTTTTTGTAGTTCTCAATGAGATCTACAAGTTTTGTATTTGAGGCTTTTTTTTCTCCCAGGCTCTTCGTTTTCCAGTTAGGATGCTTTGAAATTTAAAAAAATAAAAATAAAGGCTGTTTTGAATTTTTTTGTCATGGCGGTCTAATGGGGATTCCAAATATCTCCTAAACGGGTTTGGTTTTTTTTTTTTTCTCGTATTTTTGATTTTTTTTTTTCAAAATATATGTTTTTGGCGTTGCGAAGGTGAATTCTAGTATTATATTTAGAAATTTTTTATTTTTGGCTACTTTTACCACTTTTTTTGTATCTCAGGTAATATTGCTTGATAAAGTCATTGTTAACGCAACATTATTTATAAATTTGGTTTCTTCTCATTCCTTATTAAAGAATTACTTAAATGTCAATTTCGCGTTAAACACACAGGAGTGTATTTTCTACGACCCTGCGCCGACCGAGACAGCCGTTGAAGATTTGGATTTATACACTAGATAAATGGTGGTTCATATGCACGTTGCATTTTTACCGGTTCCGTGTTTTACGCTCAAAAAGTGCCGTTAAAAGGGGACCTTGAGTGCCTTAAGTCGATGGTGATACGTTGGTGGTTGTGGAGAACCGTTTTCCAGGGGATCCCCGTATATACGCACAGCTTATAAAAAAACCCAGGTGAGTGGTAATAACTTTTGTGTGTTTCGATAACCCTATGGTATCATTTTCATTTCTATTTCTATTTGTTTGCGCGATTTTCCAGTCGCAGTCCAGTTTACTAAATTTCAAATACTATTGCGTAAACAGTCATTGTTAATGAGTTTGCAGATATAGTCAAGTGATCTTTTGTTTTTGGAGGAAACACTCATTCCTTTAGTCACTGTCTAGCTTTAAAGATTTTTATGGGACCTCGTATAATTTTTCTTTCCAATTTATACAGCCTAGTTTTTCAGAAAGTTTTCTTTCGCTATGAATCCTTATCCTGGAAATGGGTACATTGGAGTGGAGATTTGTGCTGGATATACCAGCACATGATCTGACAGATCTGTTGCTTAGTTGATACCGTGATTGGAGAATCTCTCATGTTTGAACAAAAGTAATCTATGATTGTTGATGAACTTTGGCTTATTCTTGTCGCTGACTTTAAGTGAACTTTTAAGTTCATCGAGCATCCAGGATTTTCTTTAATTATGCTTTTGGATGATCGTTTTTCATTTAATCGATATTATAATCACCCATGTCATGTTTGATTTTTTCGGCAAAGAGAATAGAATTTTATATAGATTCGATTGTCCTTTTACTCTTATAGAAAAGGGAATTATTTTGAACGTGTACAATGCTCCTGACCACTAACATCTTCCATGTTAGAATTACCGTGAATCAAAAAATGGCCATTTCACTTCTCCAAAAACATTAACAGTAAGAAGCAAAATTTTAATTGAAGAACAGGATAAACATGCAATCAGAATAATAGTGCATTCACTTCATTTCAAAAAGAGATCCCTACATTAGACAAAACTCATATAGTGGTTGAGATTTACCAGAAATAAGTAGAGACAAGCTTTGGAACATAAAAAATTAAATTTTGTATGGGGCAAAAGTCACTTTTAATAGAAAAAGAAGAAATAATTTGCTGGAGGAGGAAATATTTAGGGAAGATTAAACAATTTCAAAATGAAAAAAGAAATATATATTATTTAGATGAAACTTGGATAAACGCTGTAGACACAGTAAAAAAAAATGTGTCAGGATAAAAACATCACAAGTTCTCGGCAAGCTTTTTAAGAAAGTTTATCTACAGGCATAAAACCTTCATCTGGAATAGGAAGAAGATTAATTATCACCCATAGTGACATTGAACAAAGATTTGTCAAAGGTGGCTTGTTAATGTTCCAATCAAAGCACACTGGAGACTACCGCGAAAACATGTGTTTGAGGATGTTAGATTTGATTCCATCAGGATCCGTTATAATACTTGATAATGCTCATCATTCAAGAAAAGCTGTTCAAGTACCAACGATACTGTATAGCGAAAATAATACATAGAACAACATTTCAAAAAAACTCCAGAATCCGCACACTAATACAAATAACCTTTCTGTCAATAATTCTCCCTCAAAATCCAAAAAATATATATGGGCAATTTCAGGAAACAATTTCGGTTTCCTTGGTCGACACCCTTTGACACGTTCAAGTTTATTGGAGGGGTGACTGGATGATGTATGCGCATTTTTATTAATAAAAAAAAAACCCGGATTCTTTATGTGTTAGAAGTTGGATTAATTCGGAAAATGTCACTCGCCTCATTGGGCGCTTGACGGAGCGCGAACAGAAATTCCAGACGTTTTGTGCCTGCCTGGATGCGTTGCGAGAGGTATTTCCCGGGAATTGGAAAGTGAAAGCTTGGCGTTTAATGGAAAATTAATTACGATAGTATAAAAGATCGTTTGGTAACTTTGTTTCAGATACTAGGTATACTATACTAGAATTTTAAGCTCGAAATGATTGAGTTTTGAAAATTTTCAATTTTGTCTTTAAAAACAAAAAGAAGATTTGCGAATTAGACAGTTTGGACTTCAGACAATGAACAGATAAGTCTAATGTAAAAATGGCTTAGAACTACATATCTTAATAAATGAATTTGCCTCCATCTCTCAGGCAATTTTAGAAAGGAACCTGCCCAAAGTATACGGAAAATGTGTTTATGTTAGAATTGGCTGAATTTTGTATGTAATGTGGATCACGCCTTTCTGATTAAAAGTTACCATTGCACCAATCTTGAAAAATTACTATACGTAGCACACCACTGCGCCACAAGCTTACCTATTTGTGTTACATTTTATGTACTTGAACTTATTATATAAAATCAGAATTTGTAAGATTACCCACTTTTTGTCAATTTGCCTTTCAACAGGAATAAGTAATGTTACCAAAATAGTAACATAATGTGACAAGTTATTCAAGTACAAACGAGTGAATTGTTGCGGAATTTATGAGTGGACCTCTGCGGGACGAGCACAGCGAGTTCCGCAGTCATCTATTCAATAATACATTGTTCAAGTACGATACTAACCTGACTTTCTCAAATGTCAGTTTTTCTCATTAGTTCAAAACTACAAGTTTCAGGTGAGTGTCTTATTTGAATAGTTCGCCAGTATAATGGTGAGTAGATGGCTGAGGAACTCTGCCTGCTCTCGTCCCACAGAGGTCCACCCATAAGTTCCGCAATAATCCACCTATTTGTAGTTGAACAACTTATTATGTAAAGTCAAAATTTGTAAGATTATGATTATTCATTTTTTCTCAATTTGCCTGTCAACAGGAATAAGTAATGTTACTTTACCAAACCAAATTCAAGTACAAATGAGTGAATTTCTGCGGTCCACCCATAAGTTCCGCAACAATCCACTTATTTGTACTTGAACAATAACTTATTATGTAAAGTCAGAATTTGTAAGATTATCCACTTTTTCTCAATTTGCCTTCTAGGAGAAATTAGTAATGTTACTTTACCAAACTAGTAATATATTGTGACAAGTTATTCAAGTACAAACGAAAGAATTGTTGCGGAACTTATGGGTGGACCCAACCATCTATTCACCAATATGTTGTTCAAGTATAATACCTACTAACCTGATTCACTCAGTTGTGAATTTTTCCTATTAGTTCAAAAACTACAAGTTTCAGGTGAGTGTCTTATTTGAACAGTTCAACAGTATATTGGTGAGTAGATTGCTGCGGAACTCGCTGCGCTCGTCCCGCAGAAGTCCACCCATAAGTTCTGCAATAATCCACTTATTTGTATGTACGTTCATTACAATGTCCAAGCGTTTTACTTGCTACCTATGAATACTATGAGATAAATTTTCCCAATAAGGAATCATTTTTCAGGATTTGTGCAATAGTTACTTTTAATCAGGAAGGCGTGATCTACATTATATACAAAATTCAGCCAGTTCTGACATAAACACATTTTCCGTTTATACTTTGGGCAGGGTCCTTTGTCCAGCCATCTATTAGAGAGAAGTTTGACCAAATGATATCGCCCTCTATTAGAGAGATACATAAACTTGTTTATTATTGCCAAAATTATCGGGATTTCTAAGAATTATGTATAAGAAGTTTGCAAAATGTTGACTAAATACAAAAAGAAGACCCTGGAAACGATAAAGAATACAAATGAGAACAAAAGATCATACCGCAAATGATGATCTTAGATCAAGGATCCTAAAGTTGATAGGTTGCCTGGTAATGGGTAATTTGATGACGTATCTGGGGAACCTTATGGAGATTTGCATTATGTTGAGGCAACTCAGATGACGTCATAAAGATATCAGGCAACCTACCTCTCCCCTCCCAAACAACCTTGCTCTAAAATAACCAACTAAAAGACCTTATGATGGAGCAACAGGATTTTATCTGCAACCAGAAAAACTTCAGAAAATGAAAAAAATTATCGAGTGATGCCAGATTTGACCAATAACATTAACTTTTCCAATGAATAATCCAAAACTGTGTGGTCATGAAACTTTAGAAGTATGCAACTACCTAGATACTGAATGTGTGAAATCCGAAAGAAGAAAATTCATACACAAACATATACAAAATCTAAAAACCCTTGTGAGACCTCAAAAATAGTAATATAAGGAATATGGACTTGGGTTTTACCCAAAATTTCTTAAAACTTAGGATAAATCAAGTATGGTATGAATATACTATCTACTTAGATTGTATAGAAAATATAACTTATATACATCTGAAGGAATTTTGGATCTGGATACAATTTTGCTATGGATCTACGAATTCTACAAATGCCAGAGTTTTTTTTTCCCCCAGAGACTGAGACAACAGTGAACAGATCTCTAGTGATACAATTTCTTAGAACTACATACTCATTTTCTCCATCTACTTAATAGAAGAAATTGAAAAGTTACTCACCAGTTCTTCCGTTACACTCAGGTCCGTTCATGGTAGCTCCATGGTCCGGCAACATGGCCGGATTCAAGTTCATGTGATGCGGATAAAATTCCAGCATCGCCACTGTTTATAATTGAATTTCGACCAAAAAAACAATCACTTTCACTGCACACGTAACGAAAAAAAAAATTGCACTATTGCGTCGTGTACCATCGGCCTCAGGAATACCAAACCCAACTGTCGCAGTAGAGATTGTCAATGTCCTCTAAAAAAAATTCGGAGGGGTTGGAAATCCCTCCCAACCCTGTAGGATGTAGGGACTCGATACTCTATGCTCCACCCTCCAACCGATTGTACTAGGAACTAGGCGGAGTCCTGCGGGATGAGGATTTTGCGCGTATAGTCCCGGAGGGATTCTAATATTAGATTTGTGTGTGATAGGGGCGCTGAGTATGTGTTGTCGGGATTATGGGTTTTGATGTAATAGTTTTCGATGTATTTATGAGAGGGCTAAATAGCGCGCCGGGGCTTGTTATATTATCCGGTTTATTTTAGCGCGATTTTAATCTGGAAATTGAGCAGAATTTTTTTGCATGGAAAAGTTTGTACACGAAGTTCCATAACATATGAACTATGAGTTTCAATAGAACGAAAACTCCCAATCGTCATGGTGGTCAGTTCCTCGAATCTTGTCCAGAAAACTTTCAGGAATCATTCGAAGAATTGTCAGAATATAGCTACCATTATAATCAATAGAATTCTAATGTATCTGCCACACAGCTGGATACTGGTTGTTTATCGAAACTTTCTATTAATTGTCCATAAACAATTATTTGACTTAAGCCAGAAACCAACAATGTCCCAGGAAATCCAACTGGGAACATGCTAGTACATATTTTGCATCTGGATTTAGATGTTTTAGATTCACCCTTTTCCGCTTTGTTGTTTGACAGATTTGGATTTACTTCAACATCCATTTTATGAATAATGTCATTATTGCATTTCTGTATACTCATGTATTTTCATCAGAAAACCCAGTTCTTCATTGTTGAAGTAACTTCAGAATCCTTTTCCTTTATCGGGATTTATTAAAGTACCTTCAAAATCCTCCATTTTTTCACATATATTTTCCTATCCATCACGATATTCACTTCTCTTTCTTTCTACACAGTGTTCCAGGCACGTTGCAAATTTTGGAATGTTGTATTGAAAAAAGTTCCTTAATTTCCTTAAGTCTTGAAGGCACTCTACATAGAGAGATTTCCTAAAGTGATCTATTTGAATTTAAAAAGAAAACAAACATTGAAGGCTGTATCATCGAATAATGAAGAAAAATCTGCCCTTTGGTTTACAGTACATAAGGAAAAATTTAACCTTTCGAAAGTTCTCCCTTCGGGAAAAACCCAAAAATAATGAGTCGTCAACCCAACCTGTTTCCATTCTGGATTCTCTAGAAAAAATCGCTCTCTCCCGGCCCAGCAGCCGTTTGTTTAATTGTCGTAATTTTTCAGATCGGTTATCGAAAAAAGAGGGAGCGTAATTTTAACCGGTGCACACCATGGAGACAATAAATCGTGAGAACGAAATTAAATATTACAGGTGAGTGGCGACACGTGACGCGCAAGTACCTGTGGCACGTGACCACTTGACAGACGATCCATCAATTTTTTGTAGTTGTTTATCAGTTGCTCGTCTTTAAGCTGCAAAACGTGCGAAAGATAGTTTGAATGAGGCTTTAGATATCTACCTGAGTGAGGATTTCGATCAGTTTTGTGTGAAGTGAATGATCCTGTTTGTGTCACATGATAGATTTCAATCTCAATGATAAAATGCAATTTATGCAACTATCAATCTATCTAAACGCTTGTTGTCAATAAGTCAATAACCATCAGTAGTCATTCGCTTAGATAGACTATAAGTTGTATATTTGAAAAGTAGATTGGTTGTATTTTATCAATGAGATCTTACCAGAGTGTCTCATAGGCCTGTATAAGTGTCCATCAGCTATTCTGTTAAGCGACCTGATGCTGTACAAACTTTCATTATTTTATGTATTGCTTCTATTACTTTTTTATCTTTATTTCATCTTCTCATGGTAGGTAGATATATGCAACATTTTTACTTTGCTACAGCTTAAGTGACGTTGAGAAACTTGTGACCCAAACTTACAGAATGAAAACCTAATTGTTTTAGATGTTCTCTATGGCAGAGCTGGGCAGGGCTTGAGTGCTTTGTGCTTGCGAAAGTGCTTGAAGCACTTTGAGGGCTTGAAAGCCCTGTGCTTCAAGCCCTTTTATAGATTTGTAATTGGGGCTTGCAAAGTCAATTACTTTAGAAAAGTGCTTGGTAATTTGTAATTGAAAAAAGTAATTCAAGCCCTTTCAATGAGCTTCAATTACTTTTAGAGGGCTTGAAGCACTTTTGGGAGCTTGAAGCCCTTTGAAAGGGCTTGAAGCCTTTTAAGAGGGCTTGAAGCACTTTTGGGAGCTTGAAGCACTTTGAAAGGGCTTGAAGCACTTTAAAAGGGCTTGAAGCACTTTAAAAGGGCTTGAAGCACTTTAAAAGGGCTTGAAGCACTTTGAAAGGAATTTGAATTGACCATCATTCAACCTCCCACTTAAAAATTTTCGATCGTGTTTTGTCCCTTAATTTTTTTTTTCTTTTATTTGAACTTGAACCGTCTTATGTCTTTTCTCTCTTAACAATGGAGGTTTTGGGTTCGAGCTTAGAATGGAATTTAAAAAAAAATGAATGAACTTATTATTAAAATAAATAATTAATTTATATTGGTACCCTATTTAACTTTATCACTGGATTTTTTCCACTTTTCCCCATTGAACATTTTGAGAACCTTAAAATTGAAGTACCATGTAGTACCCCAAGTACCCCAGAACTACATCTCAAAAAAAACATACTACTGCTACTCTGTGAAATGTAAACTTCGTCTCTACTATACCAATTCTGTGTGATGAGTGTACGCGGTAGCTTATGCCACTTTGAGAATTTTATTACAAATTCAAAGTGCTTTAGGCACATTTAAAGAGCTTCAAGTACATTTAAAGAGCTTGAAGCACATTTAAAGAGCTTGAAGCCCTTTTCAAGGCACCTCAAGCACTTTTGATGTGCTTCAAGCACTTTTCAAATCACTTTGAGGGCTTTGTGCTTGTCAAGCCCAAAGCACTTTGAGGGCTTTGTGCTTGTGAAGCACTTTTAAAAATAAAAAGGAATTTGTGCTTGAAATTGAAGCACTTTGATAGAGGGCTTAGGGCTTAGTGCTTCAAGCCCTTTTACTGAGGGCTTTGCCCAGCTCTGCTCTATGGATGGTATAATGTGGGGACCAGATGACGGAGCAGTATTCAAGTGTGCTGCGTACAAGGGCGTTGTAAAGAGATGTAAGTACCTTGATGCCGTTGATGTGTTTGGTGTTTCGCTTAATGAAGTTAAGCAATCTGCAGCTTTTGACAACAATATTATCGATGTGCATTTTGAATACCTATCAGTGTTTGATTGAACGTTACACCAAGTTCGTTGAAGAATTCCACATTATCATCGATTTGTTAACCACCAATCTTATAATATATTGACAAGTGAGGAGATGTACTCTTGTGGGACGTTATTGATTTTCGTTGGGATATGTTGATTTTCAATAGGTTTGAAGAACACCAGGACGCAAATCTGTCGAGATCTGGTTGCAGTGGGTTGGAACCTCCATTCCTAATTTTATAAAATTTCAGGTCATCAGCATGTAGAAGAAACTGCGAAGAATGGAAGCAGGAAGAAACATTGTTGATAAATAACAGGGAAAGAACAGGTTCTATGTGTGATCCTTGACGTTTTTTGAGAGGAGTAGTCACACACTTCTACCCGCTGGGTTCGCTCTCCAAGATATGATTTCCTGAAAGACCATAAAGACTCAACCCGGATATTACGTCATCCATTACTCGTTAGAATGTTGCGGGGGCATTTCTGAATCCAAAAGGCGTTTGATTGAATCTGTTATGTCCGTTTTCTATATTGAAACGCCGAAAAAAAAAATTAAAGACCCAAGACAATCAGTCTCTTAGTTCTCCAAAGAAGACTTCCAAGATTTCCGAATTCATGACTTAAAACTTAAATACTTAATTTGAAGATTCAAAAGCACAAAACTGAAGAGTGAAAACTTAAGATTGAATATACGTGAAGTAGTTTCCAGAAATAGCAATTTCTCAATTTCTGATAGTTTTTTTTTAAAAGAAGGAGGTGGCAACATTATCAGGGGTCTTGGCTAGTCTTATGTAAATGGAGTCAGTTGAACGCTTGCTAAAGAATCTGTGTTGTTCTGGTATAAGGTAACGTCCATATGTTACGAATATTTCCTCGGTTAAGATTGATTCGAATACTTTTGGAATGGCAGAAAGTATTGATATTCCATGGTAGTTCTCAACAACGCACCTATCTCCAGACTTGAAGATGGGAAGAAAAAGGGAAAATTTCCACATTTCAGGAAAAAAGCCATGCACAATCCAAAAATCGTTGGAAAATAATGCAAAGTGATATCTACTGATAAGGCTAAGGATGACGAGCAACCTTTCAGAAATATAGCCGGTATTCCGTCGAGACCTGCTTTGTTGGATATGTCCAGCAGATTTAACCTGTTTGTAATTTCTTGTGTCTGGAAGTTATGAGATGATAGGGTAGTAGCAAACTGGACATGTTCAATGGATGTCATGTCCAAGTCATCGTGGCTGGAATAAGACACTTGAAAGTGCATGGCGAATGCATGTTAAAAAAGGAAGGCAAATTATGTCGAAAGTATAAACCCTCATGAAGAAGTCTACATGGTATCAATGAGTACCTTGACAGAAGCTGATGGTAGTTCTCTAGGCACTATTGTGTCGTCTTCAAATACCCACTTAATTGATGGTTGGTTGAAATCGCCAAATATTTAGAATGAGTGTTCTTGAAAAATTCACAGGTGCCACAGAAAGAGTGGTAGCGATCGACTATAGAGTTGGGATAAAAGTAGACACAGGCAACAATAATAAACTTCCTGCGCGATCCAGCTGAACCCAAAGGAGTGAAGGTGCCCCAGTGTAGCAACTACATAGTATTCCGCTCCCACGTTGACAGCCCAGCTCATCATAGTTCTTATCTCTTCAAAAGTTGAGTAATTCTGAGTTGTAGAAAGTGTCATTGAGCCAGGTTTATGCTATTATTTCGAAGTTACATGCGGACGTTGATCTCATTTCGTCAAATTCAGTCCTT